CATTTATTTATAAATTAAAAATTGTGAACATATTTATAAATTTAAAAACAAATTAAGCAGTTATATTTTTTAAATAGCATTACACAAATTAAAAAAGAATGTTTATATTAATTAAAATTAAAAAAAACTAACTAATAAATTTGAAATTAAAAGTGACATGCTATTTTGCTAAGCTGAGCATTTAAATTTGGTAGAATGCCAATTGCTTATTCATGAACTGAGTTTAAATCTAATTTGCATTGTTTTACATGTTTATTAGTGAGTTTTACATGCTTTCCACCAATATTTCAAAATTGCAAATTCCAACTATATGACAGTGTATGAGATTTCTTGTATTATGCAACATGTATAGAAAGTAAAATTAATTTTATGATATCATATTTATAATTAACATAATTTTCAATAAGTATTTCTATAATAGAAATACAGTATATTAATTGTACATAAGAGTATTCTAATATTCTAATTGTTGTCAATTTTAAGATTTTATTACAAAAATAAATTGTCTTTATGAAAATGCTCTTAATTTTTATTGGCATACTTTCAAATTTGCTAAATAATTCATTTTAAATTAGACATTTTATGAAAAATTCAATAATTTTTTCTTATACATTATAAAAGTAATGTACAGTACTCAAATTAGAAGCAGAAGTTAAATTTCAAAATTATCAATTAAGATCAATTATATGAAAACAATGAACAAAAGAAGAAACAATGAAGATACTATAAGAGGAGAAACAATAGATATAATGTATTGTTCTTACAAAACTTAGTATATATTTGAACAAATAGGAATTACATGTATACCCTCCTTTGTTACATAATACAAGTTACTTATAAAATCCTTTTATTTTTAGTTTGAATAAGTTAGAATCTTGATACATAAAATAAGGATGAGAAGCAGTGATCATAAGATCACTGCTTCTCATCCTTATTTTATGTATTCTAAAAAATGTTTATGAGAACTTTACTTCATTTAAGGACTTGTTACATCAAGGAGAAGGAATGCACAAAAACTAGAGGATGACAATCGTTTTTAGATATTTCAGATCAAAAATAACCAACCAGTGTATTCATTCTCATGGGTAAGAAATAATTTTGAAATGAATAAGATATGCTGTCTTTGAAACCATGTTTGATAAATTTATTGGACTTTGAACTCAAAATTGAGTTTTTAATAAACACTTGGCTTTATTTCCATCTCCGTTTAGTTGATGCGTGGCATTTGCACGTTTTGGGCATAAAGCCCCTCATCAGTCAACTAAATGATACAATATTTAAAATATTACAAAATAGAATGTTTTATTTTGTAATATTTTAAATATTACTAGGGTAGGCCCGCATTTATCGTTATAGTAACCTCTTCTAACATCGATTTAGGGGGTCCAAGTTGTGTAATTAATACAAAATAGAATGTTTTATTTTGTAATATTTTAAATATTACATCATTTAGTTGACTGATGAGGGGCTTTATGCCCAAAACGTGCAAATGCCACGCATCAACTAAACGGAGATGGAAATAAAGCCAAGTGTTTATTAAAAGCTCAATTTTGAGTTCGAAGTCCAATAAATAAGATATTTTACATCAAAATTACAAAAAACTAATTTAAAATCAATTTTTAGAGGAAGTTTTTGTAACAGCCTGCTGAAGAGCGATAGTAGTTGAAATGCTGAATAACTAGAATATAGATTTATGTTACAATAAATGAAAAATGATTGGTGCCCTCTAGTTGTTGTTACATCAAGGAGGAGGAGCACACAAGTCCTTAAATGAAGTAAGGTTCTAATAAATAAATTTTAGAATAGATAAATTCTGAATATTACAAAGTTTTCTGTTCAAAGGATCTCTTTCCTAAATGTAAAATTTTGAAGTTATCAAATTTCATGTTTATCTATAAAAACTCAAATATTCAAATATATTATGGATATGGCTAAACTTTTAAATTAAAGATTTAAAAATTTTTCTTAATTTAATTTTATATAATATACATATCTTAAATAATTTTTTAATTGAAGTTTTTTAATATTATAATTTGAAGATACAAACATACAAAAACAATTTATGGCGTAGTAAACACTAGTATTGTGTTTTATTCCAAAGACACATGGCAAATTTTCCATCAAATTCCTTTATTAGTTGAGTCGATACGGTACATTGTTTTGTACTCGTTTCGGGCTTTGCCCCTCTTCAGTCAACTTGTATTTTCTCTTCCTGTCTGTGATCTTGCTGTTGGCTTGTTTGCATTTTTGTTTGATGAGTCTTGCCGTTTCTAGTTTCTGTAGATTTGTTGATTTGTTTTTTGAAATCGTGTCCTGTTTTACATTTTTGGCATAGTAAACACTAGTATTGTGTTTTATTCCAAAGACATGTGGCAAATTTTCCATCTAATTCCTTTATTAGTTGAGTTTATTAGTTGAGTTGACCAAATATAAAACAGGACATAGTTTCAAAAAACAAATCAACAAATCTACAGAAACTAGAAACAGCAAGATTCATCAAACAAAAATGCAAACAAGCCAACAGCAAGATCACAGACAGGAAGAGAAAATACAAGTTGACTGAAGAGGGGCAAAGCCCGAAACGAGTACAAAACAATGTACCGTATCGACTCAACTAATAAAGGAATTTGATGGAAAATTTGCCATGTGTCTTTGGAATAAAACACAATACTAGTGTTTACTACGCCACAAATATAAAACAGGACACGGTTTCAAAAAACAAATACAAAAAACAATTTTTAATTTTCAGGTTTGGTTTATTTTAAATTATTGGAAATTTTAAACATTTTTTTTTACATTTCAAATAAAAAATTTAATAACCAAAAATAGCTAAAAACTTCTACATTGTTATATTTAGTATTTTTATTAAGTATATTACTCAACATTTTAAATCTTCAATAATTTAAAATCAGATTTTACAAATTATGTAAAAAGGTATAAATCATATAAAATGAAATTGATTTTAAAAAAAGATTTCTTAACTTAAAAAGTTTAGCCATATCCAAAATATATTTAAAAATTTAATTATTTGAGTTTTTGACCAAAAACATAGCATTGTGAACTAAAGACAGCATGTGACTGTTATATTGCAATAGAATTGAGGCAGAGCGATGCATTTTTGTAATTAAGTTTTTAATTAGTATTAGCACACACAAATTATCTTTCACTTCATCTAACTCAAGTGATATACATGTTTGAATGTGTGTGTGTGTGTGTGTGTGTGTGTAAGGGCATGCATGTTTGAGAGTGAGAGAGAAAGAGAGTGTATGTATATATGATCAGAAGAAAACAGTTGCTGGCCATATAAGAAGGCAATCCTTGCACTTGCCAAAAAGAAAAAGGTAGTCCTTGCATCTACTTGGCACAAAAGAAGCTATCCTTACACTTGCCAGACATGGACAGGCAATCCTTACATTTGCTTGGTGATGATTGCTTTGTTTTTGTTTTGTGCATTTTTGCTGCCCATTTTCTGCTAAGCATTGGTTTATTTTTGCCCCCTAAATTCCATTAGGAACTCAATTGTATCTTGAAAACTAGCCATGGACCTCCATTTTTACTTTCCCAGCTCTGTTTTATATAAAAGAAAGAAAGTATGGTGATTAGTCAAAAACTGACTTCGCAGATTTTTACATTTTTGGACTCGGAACCTTGAAACATCAAGAAATGCAAAAATTCAGGAGTTTTTCCTACATGTATGGATGTCAGTGTGTATGTGGAGGAAGAGACAATTTTGTTCATCCTCTTTGAAGCTTAATAGCCCCTGTGCTTTTTGTCAAAGTTTCTGAAATTTTGCAAGGAGGTTTGTGTATTAGGGGAATTGATGCTATTATATTTTGGTGGTTAAACGTCAGCTAGGTAGGGATATAAACAGGGGTGGTTTGTCATCACAAGTAGAGACAGACTTAATGACATTTATGCTTGTTATTAGCATTTACAAATTTTTTATAAATTTACATCCCTACCCTCAAAATTAAGCTTTTCATCATTTTATAATAATTAAAAATATAAAAACTTTTTAATAAAATATAATAGATGGTGCCCACCACAATTTTAAATGTTGGCAAGAAAGTTAAGCAACTCATTGCTGAATTTTTTATTACATTTTTGGATTTCTCATTGCAATTAATGGAAAATGGCAAAGTTTGATCAAAATCGGTCCATCAAATTTTGAGAACAAGCAATTCTATAAGCCATATAGATGTTTTGCTAACACTCTGCCTCAAATATAGTAGTTAAATCTAATTTAAATATAAAAAATTTAACATCTTTTGTTATCATTTTGTAAGTAAATACTCTTAAGTAAGGGAATAATATAAAGATAATATATAAAACTGACTATTATCGTTATAAAAAATGTACTAATATATATATAAAAGTATGTATATATTAAGAAATATGTAATAAGTAATTATATATATTTACCGGTACACACACACAATTTTTGATAAAATATTTATTAGATATGTAAATGGGTGAGCCTAATATTTTAAGCTATAATAAAATATAAAACACTTAAAAATAATTGTTTGAATATTAAATTTATAAAACTATCATCTTAGTTTAACATAATCAAGATAAATCTTTAAATCCGAAAATTTAACTTTATTCAATGCTAACATTTTTGGCCTTTCTTTTAAAATTATGTTTTAGGTTATTTTAATTTATAACCTTCTGTTTTGCAAATTTTAATTAACCTTATCATTGAAAATTTTACTTTTATGATGTAAAAATGTTATGACATTTTTTAAAGTGCAACCTTTCATATAATAGTCTATAATTTAAATATAAATTGAATTTTCTGTTGCATAATTTTGTTGTTCTACATGTAGCCTGAAGATGGCCATTAACGAGATCTGATAACATTAGCATTGCATGAAGTTAAATTTGCTGGATTTAAAGATTTATCTTGAATATGTTAATTCTATATAACCAGTTATTAGTAGTAACGTTACTTTAATTAGCTATTAGAAAAATTTAAGAATATTTAAGACAAAACTTACATTAACAGTAAATACACCACCAGGTATAGGTTGACCACCAAATTTAATACTAATTGTGTATTGGCCAGTATCTTTCACAGTATAAAATAATGAGAATGTTCCATCACCATTATCTTCTACTTGGATATCAACATCTGAATCTGCTCCAGTAGTGCTAGTAATACGACAAGTTACTGCTCCAGTACCAGCTTGCTGAGAGTTTACTGTTATACAATATTCTTCACCAATTTGAAGTTTTTCCTGTTTGCCCTCTGGAAAATTCAGCATTTACAAAAACCATGGTATAGTAATGTGAATACTTGAAATAAATTATTTCCATTTTGTATATTTATTAGTAAAAAATATATCAAATAATATTTAAAGTGGAAAAAATTATTTCCTTTCCTTTGGAAAAGAAAATTCTTTCCTGCAAATTAAAATGGACTTCAATGATGAAATCCATCTTACAATAGCAAAAATTTATCTATTACAATAAAATTAACTTTATATAAGCATTAATTAATAATACTGATTTTAAAATTTAAAAAAAAAGTAGATTTTAGTAGCAAAATATGTAATTTATTAAAATTTTAGTTATAAACAAAATAAAATTTTATATATAATTTCAAAATCAGTTTTCTACGTTTAATTTCTTATTACTGAAACTTTATTTTCAATCTAAAAATAAAATTTAGATTTATATTATACAAAACAAATACTTTTATAACACAATTTAACAAAAACATTATGATAAATGATTATTTTCTATACAAAAAAAAAAATTTCCTGCCAATCCCTAATTAGTTAGGTCATCAAACATAACTTCTTAATTTTAACATGGAAAAATTACTTTTAAATAGTTGTACAATGATTTTAGTTAATGATATTGAATTTAAAAACTTCACAAATTTAAAAAAAAAAGCAGAAAAGTACAGGCTTTAGTGGGAGTTATGAAATGAGTTAGAGTTTAGGACCCATTCCAAATGGGATCATAGCTTTTTATGAATTATAGAGTAAATAGTTTTTTCCTTTTTATTTTTTCACTTTTTCTTTGCTGTGGGCATAGAGGGCCTATTTATGGAGGTGGCCAGATGATTTGAGACAAAACCAAATATGTCTAAGTTAAATTGTCATGAGAAGTTTCTGGGCTTCCCTATCCAGATTTGATCCCTAATCTTCCATAAAGACAGGCTGATGCCTTTTCTCCCTTTGGTCATTACATCATCTGAAGTTAATAACTAAACAGATATATAATTTTTTATTGGAAATACAGTTTATATGCTAGAGTTACTTTATGTATAGAACATTTGCTTTTCAAAGGGCAAATTTTAAATTAAAATCTGTAATTTTGCCAATAAACACAAATCCCATGAATGCTTACATAATATTTAACACACCTGTTATTTTGCATTTTTCAGGATGTCCTACTGGAAAACTGTTGACCATCATTGGTGAATTTGGCACTTCTTGACCTCCATATTTAACTGAAATATTATATGGTCCGACATCATCAGGTACATATGTTACTTTATAGGTGCCATCATTATTATTAACAATTTTGGCTTTACAAGGTCTTCCGTCAGGACCCTAATATTTAAAAATTATCTATAAATCTAACTAATAAAATTTAAACTGTACATAAAGTATTAAATATATATCTTTACTTTAATAGAGACTTCTGGTTCTGCAAAACCAGCATCTTTAGCATCAATGGTAAATTCGGCAGGAATACTAGCTGGCACACCCTTATTACTAACTCCAGGACCATGCAATTTCACTTTTTGAGGTTCTACCTTTGGTTTCACTTTCATTTGGAATGGACTATAAAAATAATAATAAAAAAATATATAAAATTTATTTTGTATTATTACAGTTAAAATTTCAATAAACAAAACTAATTATTTTTAATGTAAATAGAGCAGATTTATTTAAAATTAATTTAAGTTTTAAAACTTTACTGTAATAATAATAATACAGTATTATTATTAATTAAGTGAAGCTTAGATTATTTTTTAAAATATTTCTTTTCACAAGCTTTTAATCTTACATTTTTTTGAAATTTTATTTAGATAAATTTAGGGAATTTTAATAAATTTTTATATTAATATAAACTTTAACATAGTTTAAATTTAATTATAGTATTACTGTAATTGTTTGATAAAATCAATTTTATTTGTAAGAAAATTTAATTTATAATCAATGATGAGTATTGTGCATTATAAAATTAAGAAACACCAAATTATTATTAACAGATAAATACAAAACAAGCAATTATTTTATTGTGACATTGTCACAATACCAGACTGCAATTTTTAATCATATTTTTATTTTATTTTATTTAAAATATATGCTCTCCACCTCAAATTAGTAGTCTTGCACCTATATCATACTTTCTGTTAGCAATAGAGTTGTGCCAATCACCTAACTCCTTTCAGGGGAAAATTTTCAAAGTAAAATAATGGTGCCTTCCAGTGCAAATCGGAAGTTTGTATATAGTTAATCAGGGCGTCTCATCAATAAGCTCCAATAAGCTTTCCATATCTAATCTCAATTTTCAGCTAACTCCATTCTTGAGATTAAGGAAGGACAGACAAACAGACAGCAAAATTAAGCTCTAACAAAATAATTTGTATTAAAAATAATAAGTTTTTATACAGAATATTTTGTGACATTGCATTGTCTCATATTTCAAAATTTATCATATGATTTCTCTCAATAGCAATTCATTGGAAATATTTTTAAAAAATATTAAAAATTTATGCTTCATTTTTGGATGAGAAAGTTTGATACTATGGAATGTTTATTTTTATTTTATTATAATAAAGCCAACTTTACAAAAAGAAAAAAATTACATGTAACCTTCATGGATTTAAATAAAGTATAAGATAAACAAAAAAGATATTTTTTCTTGCCAAAAATTCAATAAATCTATAAACATATAGTAATATAAACATATGACACTGTTTACAAATATGTTATAAACTGTGCAGTATGAGGATTTATAAATTAAGTTGAAATCTATTTTGCAAAAGAAAGAAAAAAAAAAAAAAAGCTATGTTTATATATAATATACTTGCTTCAGCAATTAAGATGAATAGAATCTTGAGTCAAGGACATCCTAAATTTTAACTCTTAAGTTGGTTCACAAGAAATTTAACTAAATATATTTGTGGAAACTTATAAAACTATCATCAGATTAATTACAATGTCAGTTCTTGAATTACATTGATGACATTATATTATTTACATTCACAAGAGTTAATTTACAGTTGAAAACTTAAAGGCTATTGGTGAGAAAAATTTACTTGATGCTAAATTGAGATAAAAGTTATTTTTAGATGAGGTAAAAGATTGATAAAAAAAAGTTTTTATTTTCATAATTCAATTATCAAAGTTTTTTCTTCATTTAAGTACAGTTGAGTCCACTTAAAGAGAGCACCCTCAGGATCAGTGTGTCATATGCCCTTATCCAAAGTAATAAGATCACATAATTAGTTGTTAATGGTATTCTCTTCATTTTTCATCTCTTGGGAATTTATGTAAGTTATAACACACTTAAAAATGTTAAAATTCACTATAACAATTTTACTATAACTTAGTGGTTTCCATTCTTATACATCAATTTTATTTCCTGCTTGCTATCACTACCTGCTGTTGAACTTGCATTACATAAATTTTATTGTTCTATCAAATAATCAGTAAATAAATATTATATAATAAATATACTGTATATTATATAATATAAAATATATTTATTAGTCACATTACTTTCTTCCCAGAATTGCAGCAGGTGGCTTAGCTGAAAAGATGTGAATGTCCTTACTTGAAAATTTCTGAATGCTTTCTAATGGACCTACAGCATAAATACAAATAAGTTCAGTGCCACTTAAAGTAAGATCATGAAACCTCTGATATCTGGCTGCTAATCACTTCTTACCATATTCCCTCAAGATAAAGATGTATATATGAATTGCACTGTTTGTTCATATATTTTATGATACTTTTTTAATATGCAATTGCTTCTCATGTGTTCATTATGGTTCTGTGAGAAATCTTTTGATTGTCAACTTATTATAAAACAGACCAATGGAAGGTTTTGCCAAATTTAAACAAATATTTTAACATAGAGCCCTGTCACCATATGCAGAGTGGTGATGCACCTTAAGATTAAAGATAGAACCTTACAAATCTTCCTTAGAATAGAACTCTGTTGTACAGACTGTTGCTCTAAAAATGCCAACACTGCTGCACTCATTTAAACAGATATCAATATTGCTCTATTATCCAGTTTTCTGTTAACAGAGGTCCCATTAATGTAAAATGTAAAACAGAAAATTAGGAACATGGGAGAATATTCTCTTAAGTGATTTTATTTGATGCTCTGTTAAGTGGACTCCACTGTGTTTGATTTATATCATTTTGTCATTTTATCATAATTTTTTATATTAGAAACTAACTATCCAAAGCATTATTATACTTTTAATAATTTTTAATTATAAATTAATTTGTCATTTAAATTTAGACTATCATTTTTGAGAAAAATGCTACAACTTTAATATCCCAAAATGGATATAATTAAAGTTGTATAATAATAAATGCATATTATTTATGTTAAATATAACATGTTTAATTAATTTCATAAAGAGACAGTTGAAAATAACACTCAACACCAGAATAAAATAATACAGTGGTGCCTCGTATAACGTACGCCTCGAATAATGGATGCTGCGAACAACGGACTTTCAGTTTGCCCATTATGTGACTCGAGCAACGGACTGGTTGTGAACAACGGACTTTCCGTTCGGCAGTTATGTGAGGCAAACAATGGTCTTTCTGCGAACAAGTGCGAATGATATTTCCACTCTTTTGCCGTTGCCATTGACAATCTGCTATTTTAATAATATATTAGTATAATTAAAATATATTATTAGTATATCTGAAGCGCAGAGCTTCCATTGGGATTCGGCTTGCTCCCTTGTTTATTACGTACATCACCTCAGTGCAGGGTATTTACATTTATTCAAGTGTTGTGCAAATCATGGCTTCTAAAAAAAAAAAAAAAAAGATGATTTCAATTGAAACAAAGCAAGAAATCATCAGAAGGAGTGAAAGTTGACAAAAACTTCCTTGTCAAATGGGGAGAGGTTAAGGAGTTTACCAACACTCATTATCCAAACAGAGCTGAGGCCAACAGGATCAATGATCTCTACGATGACACCTTTGTCCGTCATTTCCGACAGGTGTTAAAGAAGAAAGAGAAACAGACCACCTTGGTCATGTTTTTCAAGAAGCCAGCAGGCAAAAAACAAAGGCTGGAACAAGAGGAGATGACCCTGCATGATCCGGTAGCCTCTCCTGAATCTGACTCCGATTAAAAAACAATAAAAA